AAGTGATCGAGCAAGTGGACAAAGGTTATCGTATGCCGAAACCGTTGAATCACCCGCTGCCCGACAGTATTTATCGATTGATGTTACAATGTTGGGATGCTAGCCCTGAGAAACGACCCACATTCGAGTTCCTGAATCATTACTTCGAGTCGTTCAACGTCACTAGCGAAATACCGTATCTCGAACCGCCAACGGACTGATATACAGCCCATCAATATATGCAAAATCATCTGCCGCCGCACGGTCACTTTCACCCAGCCCACATCAATTGTGCCATGGAATTTTATGGTATTTACTGCTAAGTAAATTATTTAGCATGTATCATGCAGCCCCTCCCTCCCCCTCATCGGAACTTTCGCGGACTGGGTGCGTCGTTCTCATAGAGAGAAAAGACTTTTAGTGGGAAAACACATACGTCCTCGCGACATCTTGCATCGTTGTCGCGAGTGGCATCTTTTTCGACTGCGAAATTTTTCTACAGATTTTGGCGACCAATTTTCTCGAGAAACAGTGCCGCGAACTTGTTGAACTATCACTGTCAAATGCTGCCGAAAATTCCACCTCGTCTCTCTTCTCATCTCTCCCTTATGTGTCCTTATGTATCCTTAGTGTTAAACACTAAAAAATGGATGGAAGTTAAACGGATTGGAAGTCGAGTGTGCCATGGTGTTTTTTGTAAGTATCCTTTGCAGGAATAAATTGACAAGATTCTAATCTTAATGACCAATCAGGCGTTAATTGTAATATTTAGAATTGAGAAACGAGAAACGGTCGCGATCTTAGGATCGGCGATTCGTTTTTTTTTATCTGCCCACAAAAATTCGCGACTGTTTAAGCGCGTTTTCGTACTTTCGACGGTGAGCAATCACAATAAAGACACTAGCAATGTCGGTAAACTTAGACACAAGTCACGGTATTAGAGAGTAACGTGACGTATGAGTTTGGGGATAAAATTCGGAATTATAGATTATACAACATAATCGTATATTAGTATGTTAGCGTACGATTACGAGATATATAAACAGAGTGAAAAAGGGAGAAAACGAAGAAGGATGTATGCGTGTATGTGCGTGTTGCGCGTATTGTGAATTGCTTGCGTGACTTGTCGCGCAATAGCATGTTGTATTTACATTTTATTGATCTCGGATCACGGTAACATCCGAATTTTCCTAAAGTCCAGTTTTTAGATACGTAGGGGCAAGTTTTTCGTACGTACTGCGAAGAAACGCTATCATAAACGCGTGTTTTTTCAAGCGAGGGCTGAATATAAAATTAGATGTAAAGGATGTCTATATGGATTTCTCGCGTGTAATTTGTCCGTCGAGAGGCACTCGAGAGGAGAATTACTCGTATCGAACGGTTACTGCGCACAAGCCGCGTGAAGCTTATTTTCGAGACGATATTTAACGCGCGATGATTTATTCCTTCTAAATGTTAGGGAGAATCATGTGTACGAGTTTACATGTGCGTTCACCCGTTTATTGCTGCTACGCGTTAATTTCATTTCGATTGTAAAACACACGCGAATGAAATGCATTCGTTCACTTTACTTCGAGAAAAGTCTCCGGTGTTCAGTCGACAGTTTTACTCGTAAGAATGGCTCTCGGCAGTAACTTTATTAACTTAACTCAGCGAGAGCGATCCTCGATGACGAAAACTCTCGAATGTGCACACAGCCAAACGTGTCTGCCAAAAACAGATCCGATTGTATTTACGATTATATCCGATTTCTATTGATCTTTTCTTTTTTATAAGTTTTTTACGCAGCAAACCGATGCATTTTAATATTGTCGACATTCCCACGCATTGTTTCACAAATGCGCATGGATGGTATGTCCTGATTTAAGCATCCCGCGAAAACGCAGCGAATACCTCGCACAAATTTTTGTTGTTTTTAATTCGACACTCACTGTACTCAGTGTCGTTGAATTACAATGCTCTCGCGAAATACCATTTGGTCTTGTTGAAGAGAGGAAAAAGAAGAAGAGTATAGAAGTTAGGATAGACGAGAGAGAGAGAAGCGAGAAAGTTACTAAATATCCGGATAAATGCGAATGCGTGAGAGCGTTTTGAGAAGAAAAGGAATATCCCACAGCCCGTGTCTGCGATGTAAGCCGACACGGCGGGCTTCACGTCGGGATAAATCGGAAATGCAGTTTCGGATAAACTTAAGTCATCGATGTTACTCGTACAAAAATGTCTGAAGAATTGTAAATTTTCTACTTGATGAAGAAAGAAAGGAAATACAAACGACGGATTAGAATAGGAATTATTTAGACGATAAGCGTGTCAGCCTCGTCGGCGGATCGACGACTTTGCTCTCTTCGCAGAAAAGATATTCTTGCGAATTGTCTCGGATTTCCTAGGATACAACGTCATCGCCATTGTTCCCGTGAGGCATTTTATGCGCGCGAGACCCGAGATTGGGTCGATTGCACCGACGTCGATTAAAGCCAGCTCCTGCTTTTGTCTAAATTACTTTTTAATTTTAATTAATCTGATGATTCTTCGTGAAACGAAGATGAAAAAGTATATAAAATAGATCGTTAATTAATATTGTAGCAAAAAGATACTGTTTTACTACATTGAGCATGAGCACCTTATTATTAAGAAATTTCTCGATGGATGGACGTACAAAACTTAATATAAAAATCTTAATTGATATTGTTATGATATTGTTATGCTCTTCAATTTTTACTGTGAATAAATGGGGTATATCTATAGAAAAGTATATTTTTAAAAAAGAACAGCGAATAATTAACTGGAATTATTCAGTCTGGAATTTCAGTAAATTGTTAATGTAATCTGAGTTAGACAAACTGCATTGATTGTATCACAATCGGTTTATAGTGACAATTAATTTTTTTTTTTTTTACATTATAGCTGAAATAACAATATAAAAAGCAACATTTAATCAGTAATTGCAGTGAGATGACCAAAGATATTGTATAACATTTTGTATATCGAGGTTGCGGTTTGTTTTAATTAAATTGTTTTTCCTCAGTTCTTTCTGCAAGAGCTGGAGGAGCTGGAGCTAAGGAATTAACCAGAGTCAGTAAGCAAGACTGTGGGTGCGATCGATCTTGAATGTATACATTTTACTGTGTCACGATAAACGCGATGAGCCATTACGATACGATAGATATTAGTGATTAAAGTGAAAACAAAATGTGAGTGCGTTGCGCGCATGCGAGCGTAGAAAATTGTTACATCCGTGTCAGCGTGATCCTCTTTTCATGTGTATTTTACTGCGACTAAACGAAGGACTAATTTATGAGCAATAATAACCCATATGTATTCCGATTTTTGTGCGATAAGTTAAAACATTGCCGCAATACGAGTCTCATATATTTTCTGTTGTTAGAACGCAACAGAAAAAGAAATTATCTCAAGCACTAGATATTTCATTTAAAAATTAAATGACTAATGATGATTGTCTAAACGATTAATCTATCTCTAAAAGTAAAGTATAATTATGATATGAAAAAAGAAATTTAACGATGCAAATCCATCTCAAATGTCAAAAAGACGTCGAATAAGACATTTTTTATTTATGAATGAATTATAATAATTTGTAAAATATTGATTAAAGTTTAGCTATCCAGGTAATAAATATCTGGAAGTCTTAATTTCTTTTTTTTAAACGTATCTTTATGACATCTCGTATATTTTCTAATATTATTATTTGGATAGATTTTGCGCGATATTGCAGCAGTCCTTATTTCATGAAGATCCTAGAATCTGTAAGAGAGATCCTCGTCGCGATGTTTACACGATACATATTTCCGATAAAATTATAACGACATCGCATGGAAGAGTGCGCGTGAAAAGGCGTTCACGTTTACGTAGCGTTAGAGAGTAGGTGTATTACGTCCAGTACATTTTTTCTATGAGCATTTTATACCGATGATATACTTGTTTTCTCATGATAAACGATCACTTGGAAATTTCGCTAATGATGATGAAGATGATCATGATCGCTGCCGTAGCTCGTAGATTAAAAAAGAAAAATCGAGTTTGAACTAAAGAGAACTCAACAGAAACAATCTAGACATTAGAAACATCCCAGTGACATCGTAAGCATCTTTGAAAGGTGCTTACTCGATAATCGAAGAATTAAAGCATCTTTCAAATATATTTTAGATGTTTCTCGGATATTTATGTTGAAAGGAAAGCGACCCGAGGCGTTCGCGTTATATGATATATATATATTCGCGTAGACTGTTTCATTCGGATCACATTTGGACCATGTAATTTACAAATTATTATGGTAAAGGCATCGTGGCCTTTTTCCACTGGATATAGAGACTGATATTGTTTAAATAAAGCCCATGTGTTATCGGGAATTCTACGTCCGACTATTCACAAAATTTCTAAATGAAATAGGTTTTCTTTTTTTCCCCGAAATCCGATAGTACAATGTATTCTTTGTCAATCGCACACACACATTTACATACGTTTTGATCAATCGAGCATACCATGAATATTTTAATTGTTCATAAATTGTGAAAGAAAGAAATCTAAATAGCGTAAATTTCATTAACTCGCAAGATGAGCATTCTTTTCAAATCTCTGGCACCGTAATTTATAATTAATTACGTATTATTCTCATGCGATTGATAATAAACGTGATCGTGCGTCTCGGAATTTCTTGGGAAACACCTCGTATCGGACGTATCGTTCCCGCGTCCTTCATTTGCAAATAATGACGTTTAAATTATATGGTGACCTAATAAAGGGCGAGATCAGCGATTTATGCAGATTGTACTTAATGAAAATTATACTCTCAATTAATCATGAACCTCGCGACGCCTCCCTCGGTAATCACGCACATCCGTTCGTGGCCGTCGTTCAAATGAAATTTTTGGTAAATCTGTGATATAGGGACAGATCTCTTTCTCTATCTTTCTCTCCTTCACGCGTTTTGATACAAAGATCGACATTTGTCATTTCGCGACGACCACGAGAGCACCGTGCCAACCAAAGGAGGATGGACGATTATCCGCGATTATGATGTAATCATTTTGCAGAACAGTGTCGTCTCACATGATGCGCACACCGAATAGCGAAAGATATTTTCTCGTACGCACGGCTTTCTTTCGTTCGAGTTTTCTTCACACATCACCGCGCGTCAACGTGCGTTTTCATTCGTATTGTACCTAAAGCGAAAACGACGATCAATACACTGTTGTCATTGTTTATATACCAAAGCTTATTATCATTAAGTAACTTAACGATTACTTTGTGTTATTATATTAATTGTCGTAAGCCTATGCAGATAAATATATTATGTATCATATTAATGTGGTATTTTTATTGACGCCGTGCGTTTCTTTGTTTGATCAGGACGGAAACTGCTGATTAAATTAATGCAAAAGAAGGTACGTGCAAAGAATACACGTGCCTCAGAATAAAAGTGTTTAACAATTATATAGGTGCATATATTTCAATTCATACTATTTCAATTCATATGATTTATCTAAACCAATTCTTCTCTCGTAATACAAAGTTTTTTTTTTTAAATACAGATAATATAATATTCCATTTTCCCTTTATACACTAAAAAAAAAAAAAAAAAAATTAAAATATCAGCGCAAATGATAGGTGAAAAAAGAGAGAAAGAAACATTGCAGAAGATGTATCAATATCTCGTTGCACTTTTCCAAACATTTATATAGAATAGTTCAATAATTTCAAGACTATACACAATTGTAGCGAGAGTGATTCTTTTTGTTTTTTTTCTTTACTGGTATGTCTGTTATTAGTACGTTAAAAAATAATTTAGGAAACTAAATTAAAGGCGTAAACAAGGAGATATAATATTGTACGTAGGCAATAAAGTGTACAACAGCCTCGGAGGACCGTGGAAAGAAAGTCTGTATCCAGTGTATGCGGTAATAGAAAGATACTTTACGATCATTAAGTGTACATCATCTCCGCCATATGCGACATCTTCTTTGGAATATGAACGAACTCCTCGAAGTAACCGGCGAGTTCGCCGATTGTCACGTCGCTCGACGAGGGCGGCGATATTCGCGCCTGGACCGAACAGGTGTTCGGTGAACTTGACTGTTGTTGCTGGCCAGGCGAGCCGCCACTGGCATCCGATTGTCCGTTGCTGCCCGTTGTCGTCCGCTGTTCTCCGCCCCCGGGTCCGGGTCCTCTCTTCAAGTTCGGCATCGTGTTGCTACGAGCACGATGGAAACTGCCCGTGGCCTCGCAGTCGTCATCCTGAATGCTAGCGTCGTCCTTGACTTGTCTATTGTCTTTACTGATTTTCAGCGCCTTGAAATCCTTCATGACTGAATGGTGGTCGATTAGTTTGGAATTTTTACTGGAAATACTGAGCTTACATGTGTCCTTGAACAGCGTATCCACTGTGTTATCACTACGACCGCTAGTCCCCGGAGCGCTTAACTTTAGAATGGCATCCCTGAGGATGGTGCTTCTCCTGGTCTTCTCGACCGTTCTCTCGTTCTTAGACGGCTTGAAATTCGTTGTACTCTTGATACCTCTCGGGTTGACTGGGAACATAGTAGGTTTGTTAGGCATGGATCTCCTTCGAAATAAGCAGCTGCTGTTGGAATTCTCGTCGAATATCCTGAATAAATTCATCGTCTTCGATTTGTCTGCCATTGCGATGCTGAAAGAATAAAAAACTTTGTTAGAAAATAATTATATTACGAAAATGCAAATATCAAATTCGCGAAAATGTTGCATCTGTGATCTTAACATTCCAAACGATTTTTGTTTCTTAATACATTTATGATGTATACAAAGACATAAATATTTTATGTAACAAAACAAATTAGGAAATTGGAATTTTTATATTACAAGCAATATTCGATTTCTTAACTGTTTCACGACAAACTTTGTGAGGACATACAAATTTTTATCCAATCGCTTTGATCACCGTTCGCATAAACATTTCATTCTCTCAGCCTTCTAAAAGACTCATATTTCATAATTTGCCAATACTCTCCTTCATCGATTTATCTCTCCTAAGACTACTATCGACTAGGTTGTTATTTATGAATCACGGTGTTTACAGGTTTAAAAATAGAGCATCCAAATATTTCTCCCATGGAATCGTGCCGAATTTGACTCGGTCCAACTTTGTTAGGCATCGAGAAACCGATCGCGCAATCGATGATTTTTAACGGACGACGAAACACGTGGATTGTAAATATATGTCATTACTAGCCGACCTTGACCGCGATTACGAAAAATACATAGTCCCGAGGCATTTCGATAGATCGATTAGCCAATGGGAATTGTAGATGATTGAGAAAGAAACTGGACAGTTAGATGCATTGATAACTGATAAATCACAATTCGTCACTTTGTTGTGACGTTCATCGATATTGGCTCGTTCCCTATCACAACTTATATTTAGTTAGCTCTTTATAACCAAAACATCTGTGACTTTACCTAGTCAATATCGTGTATTCATTGACAAGCTTCAGATTACCGTACATCACATTGCGATGTCACTTAAATCCCAGAAAATTCTTCGAGTTAGCTTTATCAACTTTATCATAATATCTTTAAATTTTTGGAAAATTAAAATCGATTCATAAGTAATATTTAAGTATCCCTATGCCATCTAAAAAACTTTCGATTAATTTCTTTAAGTACAGTGTCCAAGTACAGATATTGGAGATATTAGATATAAAAAAATAGTATCACTATCGTTCTAATGTTATTAGAAAGAAATTTGTTTAACAAATTATCATATATGTTTCTAATCTGTATAAAGAATTTGATTTCCCTAATGATATCTATCCAGATACAAATCTTATCATTAGTATATAAGAATGTATTATTATTGCTTTAATAAAAAGAAAAATTTTTGACAAATTTTTTTGTCCTATGTTCATTCCTATGTTCATTCTATTTAATATTCTAATTAATTTCCTTAATAATTTAAATCTATTGAGATATAAATTTTATTGCTTGAAGTATAACATCGCTCTCGTTCTAATATTAAAAAAAAATGTAACAAATATAAATTATTTTTGCGTACTATTCATTTCTATTTTATCTAAAAAAGTGTTCATTTTCCTTAACTATATCTACTCAAATAGTCCTTGTTACTAATAAAGAATAATATCACTATCACTCTAATATTAGCAATTTATTTCATGGATGAAATTTTATGTACTAAATCTGCTTCTATTTTGTATAAAGGGGGGGAATTCAATTTTCTTAATATTTTTTTAGATGTAAATTTGTCATTAAAGAATATCGTTGTTGCTCACATCCAAAGAAATTTAATCAACGGATTTGCATTTTTTACATTCTACTTAAAAGTTAATTTCCTTAGCAATTTAAATCTATTTAAATACAAATCTTTTGCTATTAAAGAAGCGCATCGCTCTCATTCTAAAATTAAAAAGAAATTGGCAAATTTTTGTGTACCTCTATTCACTCTCATTTTATTTGAGGTGTTCAATTTCCTTAAATATCTCCATACAAATTTTGTCACTAAGAAATAATATCGCTATTGCTCTATAGAAAGAAATGTGACTGATCTACGATCTATTATACTACGATCTATTATAAAATCATCACGTTATAAAATCGTGATTAGATTGCGACAACTACCGAATGGGAAACTATAGATGCTTTCCAGAATCTTCGAGTCTCTTCGGCTCACAGTACGCCGAGGAGTTTTACAAATGAAACGCACGTCAATGCGGTGCTTGTTTTCATGCTTGCAAGGATTCATCAAGGATCACGCGAGGTTACACCTCGGGGGAAGCGCGTCCCTTTAGCGGCAACACGCTGACATCTCATTGTCGCATCTTGAGATAGAAGAACGAACGGCGGAACGACGCTTACTGTGGACAACTTGTCGAACGACGGTCGATCTCGAGCCTCTGTAGACGCGCCGGCAGCACGTCGTCCTCGTCGCCCATACTCGATGTCAATCCTGCCGTCAGCGCGGGCGGTGTAGCATCGGGCCGACGGGCGCGCCGTGCGCGCGCGATGGCTGCGTGGTCCGGCGGGGACAGGCGGAGATGCGGCGGGGAAACGGCGGACGGGAGCCTCGGCTAGGTTAGAGCCCCGCGGCCTCGGCGACGATGACGACACACGATGCAACCGCGCGACAACAACGCGACGACGACGGCGATGATGACGATGGCGCGCGTACGTGACAGATCTTACTCGACGTACGACGCACACGACGTACGATTCCACTTCTCGTCGTTTCCAGTCGTTTCCAACAATCCTGGTCCTCGTTTCCTCGAGCTCTCTCCCTCGTTCACGATTCTCGACTGGCGAGATCTCACAGACTCTCGAAGGGTACGATCGCGTCTCCGTATCTCGGGCGCGCGTGAATCAATCCACGATCAATCGCTTCGACTGACGTCGCAATGGCGAACGTAAATAAACACCGCTACTGCGCGGGATCAGCAAAGAATTACGGCGATGACTATTCGTGACTACCGGAAGGAGGCGCTCCAGGGGGCGCCACTCGTTTCACTCGCTGCGGAACTCTCTCGCCGTTGTCTCTCGCGCGCCACGCGGGAATCTTCGGAATTCGGAGAGGCTTTTGTGAGACTCTTTGTTATTGTTTTTTTTTTCTTGTCGGCGCGAGAACAGTAATCAGGTAACATCTGTCCAAATCGATTGTTGTAATAACAGTGTAAGTTGATACGACCGAGATTTGCAAAATAGTTTGAGATTTTTTTTAATTAAAATCAGTATGAATAATATTTCATTTATGTACGATAATTATTTTTGGCTATTAAATAATAAAATTTTCAAAAGTCTTTAGAATTTTTTTTTTAAATAGGCACAATAGATTCGCACTGCGAAAAAATATATAGTAGTGCAGGTGCATATGTAGTGCAGATTTAGTAAAAAATTTCTTAAAAATTTGAATCCTGTCTGCCATTTTTAGAGTAAGCCTAGTTTTTAGTTTTGAGTTACATAGTTTATTAAAAAAATAATTTTAATTTGATAATTATTGCATAAATATATATATATATACTATTAAATTAAATTAATTTTCTTGCTAACAAATTACAAACTACAAATATTAATTTAATTTTCTATTCTTTTTTAAAATAAATAATTTAAAAATAAAAAAAAGTAATATATGAATTTCTTTTCAATATTTTTAGAAAATTTGAAAAAGGAAAGAATTTAATAATCATTCTACAAAAATTATTGGAAAAAAGAAGAAGAACGATATACGAATCAGATATTTCTGCAATACTTAAAATGGAACATAATTAATAGAGTAACTTTTATCATCTAAATTTAATTTACTCTCTGGAATCTGTTTTTTACTTTGTTTTAGAGAAATATATTCTGCTTGTAAAATATTATGATCATTAACCTTCTTCTGAATATTTACCCGACATTATAACCGGAAATGAAAAAATTTTGAAATATTGCCCTCGCTGCTCGAGGCTAGTATAGTATAATTAGCAGTTATGTCATTGAACTAAAGATAATTTTCGTTGCAAAAAATACGTTTTTTTTATAAACACTTAAATCCTCTTTAGAGATATTAACACATATATTCAGCTTTCATTTCTATTATTTTTTATAGTTGATAAAGAAAAACGAATAACATTTATAATAATATTTTTAATTTCTTTCGTTGTTTTTTTTTGTTAACCGTTATGAGTAATTGGAATTGATAGAATTAATGAGTTATTTATGAATAATTGAATAAAGTATAATTCAACGATAAATTAGATTATTCTTTAAAAAAAACTTTAAGAATTTTCCGTCCGAATAAACTTAATGAAATTCTACAAATTTTATATTCAACTTACATCATGATAAATTGTCTTTAAAGCTCAATAAATAACTTTTGAGGCCTGCGATTAAAATATTAATATGCACATATGTATGTTATTACAAGAAAATTTTAAACGAAGGATATTTTCGTCTCATCGTCGAATCTTAATCTTGAATTATCCAAAGAAGGGAGAGGGAGAGCGAGTGAGAGAATTGAGTAATCTGGCATTATTGAGATTAAGATTGAAATTAAGATAAATCGATCTCGCTAAAATTTCATGATTCAGTGGGTGAGCTTAGCTTCGTGCTGACGCATTCCCTCGGCCCAGCTTTATTTTAGCATACGGCTGAAACATTTACGAATTCCCGCTGCTGGAGAACATGGAGCGAGAGGAAACGGCTGGCCGCCTTTATTTATCGTTGAAAGCGCGCGTTCCATCCGGAATTGTTTCCAATACATGTCGTTCGTAGACAGACGGTACCATCGAGGCGAATTGAAACACTTAGATATTCGCCAAGATATTTATCCTCTTTTGTCTCTATGGGGAAACGGGGAAACATTAAGATTTCATTTGATTTTGCGCGCGTTTAAATTGAGCATTTGATTTCATATTCGACGCGAGTAAAATTTTACAGTTGTGAAAAATATTAAAACAGGGGAAATAAATATTAGAAAAGGTTAGAAATAAAAATACTATGAGATATCCTTTCTATTTAATATCTTTCTTGAGAGGAAAGAAAAGATTTAATGGTTCTTTATAAAAAATCCTGGACGAAAAGGGAAGTAAGTTTAAAAATCTTAGATAGCTCAGAGATTTTAATCATACATTCAAAATCTACATGCACGAAGCTGTAAAAATATAATTCACTTTTTCTTCATCTTTTTCATTAAAATATCAGAAAGCTTGTACTCTTCACAAATAATTAATCTACAATCAGTCTTCGTTGGGATAAGAAATAATTTTTCAAACTTTTAACTTAAATTCTCTTTTATATTTGAATAAAGAATGATAAAAATTTTAGAAAAGAAAATTTGTACATACATGCAATAGACTCTACATCGTAAACGCTATATAACGCTTTCTTATAATTATTTTATTTAAACTGAAAATGAAAATATAATAATCATGCTGGAAATTACAGCGGCGCGGCGGAAAAAAATAAGGTCGATGCGGTGCTTCGAGAATTTAGCCGTTTAATCGGTTTAGAAATGAGCCCTGGCGACGGGCCAAAATCTCGTCCACTTTAACGCGCGACGAAATTTCCGAAGTTTCGCTGTGTCACGGGATAGATGCACGTTGCACCTACGCATATCCGTTGCACCGGCCAGGAAGCGGTCACCCGACCGTCGGCGCGGAACGCCACGCGCGCGTTACTCTTACGGTAAATTTATATTTTCCGCAGTTACTGTTCAGACGATCTTTATGGCTCGCACACACGCACTGCCTTTGCTCTTGCAGACCGTCATGATTATTTCTCGCCACAGATGTATCCAGATTTTTCCGCAATTCTTTTTTTCGTGCGACAAAAAAATCGATGGTCAGAAGTTTATTATGCGCACGTATTTATGTGTTTTATATATATATATATATATATATATATATATATATATATATT